CACGACTGTGGTTGGTTTCCACCCTTGTTGATGTTGTCTCGGGCCCTGGCCAGCCCCACTAGGTATGGAAACTGTGCTGAGCAGCTCAAATAGGCAAGCCCCATGAAAAAGCCCTACTTTGGCGAAATAGGGTTTCACGATTGTGGATCAGTCGGTAAGGAAACGCCCTTCTCACTTAAGCACTCCCGACCCGCGCGCAACGTACACGCGCGCGCGCGCGCGCGCAACGTGGGAAAAGAGAAAAAGTTTTCAGAGGGTGGGGTCGAGCCTGAGCCTCGCGCTACGACGGTTGCGGTGTTTCCAACTAGGCCGCTCGCGCGTCGATTTGGCAATTTGGGTCCCTAGTTCCAAACCTTAAAACAAACCCTTTTGGACAAAAATTGGGTTTCACAACGGTTGATTGGTTCGCTGCCGTTTTGGCCTGGTTTCCCAACCTACCAAGGCCTAGTAAGTAAAGATCATGAGCCGCACAGCTCTAAAAGGCAAGCCCCCTGAAACGACCCTATTTCGGCGAAATAGGGCTTCACGACTGTGGATTGGTTTGCAACCTTCTTGCTGTTGTCTCGGGCCCTAGCCATCCCCACTAGGCATGGAAACTGCGCTGAGCAGCTCAAATAGGCAAGCCCCATGAAACGACCCTATCTCGGCGAAATAGGGTTTCACGACTGTGGATTGGTTTGCAGCCTTGTTGATGTTGTCTCGGGCCCTAGCCAGCCCTACTAGGCATGGAAACTGTACTGAGCAGCTCAAACAGGCAAGCCCCATGAAACAACCCTATTTCGGCGAAATAGGGTTTCACGGCTGTGGATTGGTTTGCAGCCTTGTTGATGTTGTCTCGGGCCCTAGCCAGCCCCACTAGACATGGAAACTGTGCTGAGCAGCTCAAATAGGCAAGCCCCATGAAAAAGCCCTATTTTGCCGAAATAGGGTTTCACGACTGTGGATTGGTTTGCAGCCTTGTTGATGTTGTCTTCGGCATGGAAACTGTGCTGAACGGCTCAAGTAGGCAAGCCCCATGAAGCAACCCTATTTTTGCGGGTTTCAGGACTGTGGATTGGTTTCCACCCTTGTTGATGTTGTCTCGGGCCCTAGCCAGCCCCACTAGGCATGGAAACTGTGCTGAACAACTCAAACAGGCAAGCCCCATGAAACAACCCTATTTTTGCGAAATAGGGTTTCAGGACTGTGGATTGGTTTGCAGCCTTGTTGATGTTGTCTCAGGCCCTAGCCAGCCCAAGTAGGTCAGGAAACTGCGCCTTGCAGCTCAATTAAACATAGACCACCCCCCCTCAAGAGAACACTTTTTTTCAAAGGCTTTGGAGCCACCCACCCGCTCACTCGTGCCAGCCAAGCACAAGCAAACCCCGATCAGCCACGTCCCTCCCAAGGGGTGCGTGTGCTGGTTGGGGGTCAAGAAGACAGATAGACAGACAGACAGACAGAGAGACAGCCCACCCAGCCAGCCTGCCAGGAGCCAGGCAGGCAGGCAGGCAGGCAGACGAGGTGACTGAAATTATTCAAATTAAACGAGGCGAGGTGAATAATTTCAAAACATTGAATTAAGACGAGGTACGAGGTGAACGAAATTAATGAAATTAGTTTAATTCACCCAGATATATATATACACCAGCTGCTTCCAAGGGGTCACCAATGGATACCTCCATACTACTTACAGGTCTCCATTGGAAGCGCTAGGTATATAGTTGTTCTTCCGGCAGTGGCAGCTAGTGTTGTGACCACAAAACATTGATATATTGCAAAAATCAACCATGTGTTGCTCATTGTTTGAGGTTCACGAATGAATGAACACAAGGAGTCAAGGAGTACAGGAGTACAGGTGTTCATTTATAAAGACAACCTTTGTATCATAGTATAGCCCATGCAGTCCTTATACATCGACTCCTCAGATCTGGGGAAGAAAAGATGGACTATGTCGACTATGTATTGTAATTCGCAGAATCAGCTCGTTTTTGAATCTATTAAATCTGTGAGAGTTGAATCTGTGAAGTGTTTCCATCAGAAGTGTTTCACCCGATGCGTTGACAACACAACTAGGCATGTGGTTTTGAGATAATTGTGTTTGGGGCATTCTCATCCTGTCACAGCAGACAACCGGGTAGACGATCTTCGTGTGACCACTGACAAAGATTTGGAAATGTTCGATTCGCGAGCGATTTGGAATAACTTCCAGGAGTTTGGACGGGATTAGGGCGCACACCTATGGTATGACCCAGAAAATCTCTCACGTGGCTTGGGTCTCTAAACTACCCTTTTGGAATTGCTCATTGTTTTCTCTGGACCATCCGATTTGGGGCTTGGCCTTGGTGTGAATTCCACCTTTTGTCGCTTTTGTCTTCACAGCTCAAAGGATGCATTCTTTCTTCCAAGCTCTTAAATGATCTTAATATATCTCAATCTTGTTTCAAAAAGGATTTCAAATGGTATCAACTAGCTTGTTGTACTGAAAGGGTATGTTCAATGTCATTATGGTGTAGATTCTCGTTGTTCTTCGAAGTGGCTTCTCGCCCACGGGTCACCAGGTATCCTACCGTCATTCCTCATGGCGCGATGGCGAAGGTGGGTCTTGTCCAACAAGCAAAATAGCGAAATGTGTGATATGTCCCAACCTGAGGGTATGTCCCAACCAGGATAATCTAGTGGAAGACGCATCCTGGACAGCTTGATCAGCTTGGAAGGAAAAACCGTGAACGGCCGACTTACAAGAGATCCGCAAGGTTCCCAAAAGTTCGCAAGAGATCCGCATACAAAATATATGTTTGCATTGCTCTGGGTTTGGGGTTGTGAAGAAGCCCTTACAAAGGGGAATGCATGTTTCGCCTGACAGGTTGTAACTCTTTGACCAGCGTGACCATCCCTGAGTCAGTGACCGAGATCGGATCAGATGCTTTCAGTGGTTGTAGCTCACTTACTACTCTGAGCATTCCTGACTCAGTGACTGATATTGGAGAACGAGCCTTTTTGAGCTGTAGCTCATTGACAGACTTGGACTTGTCGGGCTCTTTACTGATCATCCAAGCCGGTATTCTGATGAATTGCAACTCTCTCCGAAGGTTGACTATCCCAAGCTCGGTTACATACATTGGAAAAGACGCTTTTAGTGGTTGCACTTCATTGAAAAGCTTGACCATCCCTGATTCTGTGACGCGTGTGAGACACAATGCCTTGAAAGGTTGTAGCTCGTTGACAGGCTTGACACTGCCCGGTTCTCTTGCTTCCGTTGAAGCATGCACATTTAAAGATTGTAAGTCTTTGACAAACCTCGCTATCCCCGACTCCATGATGTTCATTGGACCTGAAGCCTTCAGCTGCTGCAGTGCTTTGACCAGCTTGAGAATACCCAACTCTATGCGCAGCATTGCTTACTACACCTTTCGTGGATGCTGGTCCTTGAAAGATATTACAATCCCCGATTCTGTGACTCAGATTGAAGCGTGTGCATTTCAAGATTGCAAGTCTTTGACGAGTTTGTCCATCCCCGACTCCGTGTGTCTCATTGGATCGCATGCGTTCAGCGGCTGCATTTCGTTGACAAGTTTGAGGCTTCCCAGCTCGAAATTGACTCGTATTGAAGCATGTGCTTTCAAGGACTGCAAGTCCTTGACCACTTTCACCATCCCTGACTCTGTGTCTTTTCTTGGAGCCAGTGTCCTCAGTGGCTGCAGTTCTTTATCCAACTTGGATGTTCCTGACTCTTTGGCTTCGTTTGATCTAGGTCTCTAGGTCTCGCCTAGGTCTCGCCACGGTCTCGCACGCGGTTGAAGGCCGGACTTGGTCGAAGAGCAAAAAGGGTGGTGAGCTGAGCTGGTCCGGCCAAGGGTGATCTGCTTTGGGGAAGATGATGATATTCGTTGGATGCGAACCATGTTGGAATTCTCTACCAGCACCCAACCTCACAGGTCACCACCTACCACTTCTAAGTTGGAGGGTGCTTGTAGGAGGCGGAAGGTCTTGAGATTGCCCACAAAATCTTCTTGTCAACACTCCATTGAGAAGCTCTCAAAGTTGCTGCACCAGCTGCAAGGTGAGAAAGGGGGTCGACAGAGACCATAGTGAGCGAGCATTCCTCAAGGAAAACTTTTGTTGATGGCTTAGTGTAGACATGTGCGGGGTTCTTTTCACAAGTACTTCAGTGATTTTGTTTTATTTTGGAACTTATATAACTATAACTAAGTCTTACTAGTCGTCAACCACAGTCAAGGGAGTAAATACTCTATACGACTGAATGATGATTTCATGTGACCGAGTTGTTTGTTTGTCCTGCTTTTTAACATGTCTTCTTTTTAAGCTAGGGATGCCCTTGTTCCGTTCGTAGCTTCTTGTTACTTGTTGTACTGCCAGGAGCTACGTTCGTAGCGTCCTGGTTCCGTTCGTCGCGATGCCGCGATGCCAGGCCACTGAGCTCAACGGCCTGCAATGCACGTGGCGACGGCTGGTTTGGATCATAGAGGAACGTGTTCCACAGGAAAATCGACAAGCTGGATCATCTTTTTCTGGGCTTCTTGGTGTTTTTTGTACCCCAGATTTTGTGAGAATGATTTTGGTTTTGGAGTACAGTGGTTTCAGATGGTTTCAGAGCAGATGGCACTGGCACCCCATAATGTCTGTCCATTAAAACCACCAAACCTGGGGTAACTTGTGCCATCTACTCTGAAACCACTGTAGATTGTCCTGTAGTAAAATCCTATGATTGAGACATGGCAGGGATTGCGTCATACGGTGTGCCATGTGTGACTTTTTAATGGCCACTTTGGGCCGTTCAGAACACCTTCGGCGACCAAGCTGTGGAAGAAGCAACGGCCAAAGCATGCTGATTGAGTTGAGTGGATTTATGAAGTGAGCAAGCAACCAGTGACGGCGACAGTAAGACTTACCCAGTCCACGAAACTGGTCCCAAATCAATTTGCCTCATCATCACATCGGGCGCGTCACTTTTGACCAACCTCGGTGGAACACTTAAGTCCTGAATGAGATGAATGAATCTTCGATGACATGTTTTCTAAACACCCACAGCGCCACGCGACGAGTCGCCGATCTCGCCACCGGCCGGATTGGCCCACACCACCACCGCTCCTCCGCAACCGCCGATCTCGCCGGATCTCAGCTCCCGTCGCCAGGCTTTGGCGCTTGGACACGGAGTCCGGTCGCTGGGAAGTGAAGCTGCCGGACGGCGAGGCCGGTGGCGCGGTGGCGTGGATGCGGCGAATGCGGAGGCAGCGAAGGGCGGCGGGTTGCGGGCAGATGTTGAGTGAGAAGGAAGACACGAGAATGGCGTAGGATTTTGAGGATGTGTTGTAGGGTATAGTGGGTCAGACACTCCATCCCCTAGGGATCCAAGTTCCTTCTCAGAAGGTACTTGGACCCTCCAAACCTACATAGCTGTGTCTCCAATCACCTGCTGAGAAGGTACTTGGATCCCTAGGGATCCAGGTAACCATGTTAATTTTTGGCGAGTGTACACAGAAGTGGCTGTGCTTTGGGGATGCAACTATGATCGAGTATGAGTCGCCGCTTCAAGCAGAGCACTGGCTCCACGGCATGATTTGGCATTGCTACGGAGAGTGTGCACCGCTGCTGTGATCTTTGCGGACGAGACATGACGAGACTACTGACGTCAAAAAGAACCTTTTGGGCTCCAAATACCTCAGAAGGAGTTTCAGAAGGTATTTGGACCCTATTGGCACCCTCCGAAACACCTTCCAAACGAAGGTAGTTGGAGCGCTGGTGATATTTTGTTACTTCCTGGCAGTTGGTACCGTCGTTTGTCTACCATTCCTCAGACCGACCACCGAACCAACGCCGGCCAGCAGCGTGTGGCGGGGTGGCCGCGTGGCCCACCATTTTGTTTCGCCACCCGGTGCCTGGAAGTGGGGAGAGTTGGCGGCATCTCTACAAGAAACCAAAGGATTTCTTGCATGTGTTGCCTCCTCTTGATGGTCACTTACATCTCTCCAACTTGATCAGACAACGGAGTTCTGGGTCTGACCAGAGATCAGAGGTGCTTCAGGATGAATTCAGCGGTTTGACCTGAAGAGCCAGGAGCATTTGCACACGATGCCGACGGCCGGAGCGGCCGCCTCCGGTGACAGTCAGACTCACCTCCACAAGTATGAGATTGGAACCCGTGCTGTTTTAGGTGTCCTCTGACAAGACGCCTACTCTGCCTATTCTGCTTTGGCTGGCGGGCCATATGTATACACGGTGCTGAGTACTGTCATGATGCTGGTCATCAGGAACACTCAGTTTGCTGGTTGTGTGTTGGCAGCTAGTTATATAGTTGGCCTGGTAGCAAGAACCTTTCAAACATGTTCAAACCTATCTCATATAATAATCAATTGCAGCATGGTAAGGTGGGTTGCATAAGCAGGTAGTTGTCCAACTATGAGCATGGCAGCCAGTAGATCAAACGTGGAACAATCTAAGCGGATTTTCACGTTCTTGAAGTAATGTTCTATTCACTGATTCAATCGCGCCTACTTACTGCTTTGGGTGAAAGCTGCTGGACTGGAGGTCGACGGGTTTGGAAAGGCGGCCTCCAACAGTTACTTTTCGTGGGGACACCTCATCACAGAGCCAATCACAACGGCCCTTGCATTCGGAAGCTCATTCTCCATGCTGTTTCTTGGCCATCCATCCATCCATCCATCCAACCATCCATCCATCCATCCATCCATCCATCAACCATCGATGTTTCTACAGTTCGGCTCCTCAACTGATTATCTAAATCTAAATCTCTTGCCCATCTTCCCTGCGCCAAACCAGCTGACCACACCAGTCCTGCTCTCGGCGCCTTCTTGGCGTCTTAAGTCGCGACCTCGCTGCGGCGAAGCTCCGACACGGCAGGTGAAGGCCCTGCGCCCAGTGCACCTCATCTTCCGTGGCATAGGCGCCGGTCCATCGAATGCGTCGAACACGCGAGGGCGGGAAGGGTGGTGATGGAAGGGCGGGGAGCAGACTCCGCATAAAGGGAGGGCTTGGATGATGGATGTGGTAATGCTGTGGTGGGCAGAAGTTTGCCAGATTGGGATGTTTTTTCTGGAAACTTGGCCCTCAGAAGCCAAAAGCGCAAAAGAACCCCTGCAAATCGACAGCAGTGCATGGACTCACCCCAACCAGAGCCGAGAAGAAGGGCCCGGCACCGCGGATTTGGCGAAGTCTTGCTCCTGGAGGGTCCGCACCCCCTGACGACGGAACCCCGGAAGCCCTCAACCAAAATCCGCAGAGGTCACACGCCGGGTGACGTGGTGAGGTCCCATCGAGGACGACGGCTCGTTGACCTTGATCGGCATGGCGTCAGAGCACCAAACCATCCACCGAGTGTGCGGGCCCGAACCCGCGGAACAAGAGGAAACGGGCCCGCCCAGCGGGAGACGCAGGCGACGCAGGAGTGGGGAGACGCACGAATGGGAGATGGAGGGCTAGATGGAGAGATGGAGTTTGTGGCTGTGGATTCAAGATTGTTGTGGAGTTGTGGAAGGATGCGGCAAAATGCTTGTGATTCTACAGCCTATTATTAGTTCATATTATAAATTAAGTCTATACGTTTCTAGAATTAGTTGGATGTACATTGTGGATGCACCGCACCTGTATTGGATCTTGTTTGTTCTCAAAAGCGCAGCTGAAATTGGTGGTGTTGGGAGCCTCACCTGACATACTACCACCTGTAATCAACTTGAAGGGCCCGCCGTATCAAGAACATCCGAAATTCCAGGGATGAGGCCGCTGCTTAGAGGTTTGGGTTCCAGATGTCGAACTTGGCTTGGATGTCGAACATCGAAGACATCTCACCTTGGCCAAAAAGACTGCTCTTTTCGTGTCTTTTTACCGACTGTTACAGGTACAAACCATGATCGTACAGCAAGTACTGGTAATGGGATGTGGTACCCAATTATTGATGCAGTTTTACAGATCTCGTACCCAATGCTTTACCATGTTTTTGACACCTATACTATGTAGAGGTCGCAAGTGCGGCCACTACCATCCACTACCCAACGGTCTCGTTGTCCAGTCGTTGCGTCTCTTCGGACTGAACCAGATGACGGGTGTGGATGTGGGTCATGGCTGTGGGGGACCGACCGATAGGCTCCTGGTAGGTCCCCCAAAACCCCAGGTGCTCCGCCCGGTCCTAACGACGGCATCGCTCCGCCCGGACCCGTTCGGACCCGTTCGGACCGGAAAGAACATGGGACGTTTGACCCCATGTTCCGAGCTACGAAGGGGTCGGGGTGAAATGGGGTGCGGCAACGACTGACACCAGGTAGATCAACCGGTCAGTAACCTGCTTTTGGCCACCGCCTTGTGTCAATATGTCTTAATCCATCCCAGGGCATCCAGTTGTTGGACTTCCTAGGGTCTTAATCTATGGTTCTTGTGGCTCTTGTGACAGTCCTTCTTTGCAAAATGCATGTGAAATTGGTTTGTCCACCAGCTGAGCATTTTCAAGGCGAAGCCTGGTGCCAGAAAGGATGGGCAAGCCCGGATTGAAGCAAGTCCCGACAAAAACATTGATTTGACCACTGGCCTTAGCCAACGTACAGATAGCTCGCGATCGTTGTGGGCATCAAATCACAGTAGCCCGGATGGTTCAAGATATTTGTTAGTGGAGGTCTCTCCTGATGGTATGCAGTGACGGGTTCTGTTTTCAGTTCCAGAGCCCAAGCGAGATGTTATTCTATGTTCTTTGGTGGGTGGAAGGGTGACTTGAGAATGACATGTTTGGCAAACCTACCTTATTATGGGATAGGAACCGGTGATGGTGTCGTTCTCTCCAACGAAGCACTACTCCAAGCAATTGTTTGGTCACGATCAACACTCGTTCATTCTTCAAGCTTCCTGGTGAACCATTCATCACCATTCTATGTATAGTCGTCACTTTTCCACCTGAATCACTTGAAAAACGGCTTCCGATGGTTCGCAGAACCAGAACCTTTGACACCTCGACCCGCAACCCGGGACGTCCGATCGACCCCCAATTCCCTCAGGCTCGACGCCGTGCGGGACTTGATCCGCTCAGGCGGCGTCACCGCGGGACGGACGGAAGGTGCGGTGAACTGACGTCATGGAATACGATTTGTGGACAAAAAGAAGCTATAAGGACACAGTCATATATATATACCTGCGCCCCTAAGGGGTGTCTAAGTATAGCTCCTTAGAGGTTAAGGGGTATCCATTAACCACCCCTTAGGGGGGCCCTGGTATATATATGTATATGATTGTGAAACTTCTTTTTTTAGGGGGTGGTGATGATGAATCACCAGTCTACATTCAGAAAGACACAGGAGTTGTTCGACGGCTCAGGGTGGAAATGACCAGTGGCTGAAGAGAAGAGATGAAGACTAGTGGGACTTCCTGCCAAAGGAAAGTATGGTCTTCCAGAGGGGGCCATATTTTGACTTCCTGGCTTACAACAACAAAGTTGCAAATGAAGAAATGAGCTCAGTTAACCCAGTGGCAAGAGGCTCCGGACTTTCTTCTGGGAGACTGTGGGCTGCCTTCGCCCCTGGACGGCCCACAGATCCGCCCTGGACGGCCCGATGTGTGTCCCGCTACCCTGACTTTCGGCCCCTCAATCCACCTACAGAGCCTTCACCATGGGCCTCGGCTCTCCCCACAGAGCCTTCACACCTGTGACAAGGGTTTGAGACGGCGGATGGCACAGATGGCACTGGCACCCCGCACAGATGTCTTTTATAGAGGTCCAGTGGCGTAAACCACCAAACTTGGGGAAACTTGTGGCATCTACTCTGATGGCCCACTGTAAGTATCATCAAATCTCCACCCTCCAACGAAGCCCAGCGACTCTCGGTTTCCCGCGGCTGGCCCCTTTTTGGCTGGCCCCGCTGATTTGTTTTTGTTCCGCCTTGGGAGGCTGGCCAGGGAGGCGTGTTGTATATTGTTAGGTTTTTGACAATCCGTTTTTCCCAGACACGCCATGCTTTTCCAAGCTTCCTCTACTTGATAGCAGCACAACTGTGATTTACCACGACCTGTGCCACCAACTCACCAACCAACCCAACCAACCAGGCATACTCAGTCCCTTCCTTGAAAAAGAAAGTTCCCAACCAACCAACCAACCAACCAACCCAATCATGCACATATACTCATGCACTCCCTACAATTCTTTTGAACTCAAACCGTTCCGCCACCAAACCGGGCCTCACTGGGTCGGCCGGTCGGCCAGGCAGCGAGGCCCTGGCGCTGCTGGGTTCCGTGGTGTCGCCCCTGGGCGGCCGCAAGGCGCTCGGCGAAGAGGCGGCGCGGCGGTCGGAAGAGCGATGCAGTCGGACGGCGGTGTGGGGAAGGAGGGGAAGGGAAGGAGGAGAAGGAGGAGGTGTGGGTTCAAAGGGTGAAGAAACAGACCAAGTTGTGAAAGTGAAGTTGAACTATCAGTCCTTTACTGAGATGAGGATTCAGAATGCTGAAGTGTCAGAGGCATGGTTGAGTCGACCAGTGGATCACGGTTGCATAACATCACACTTACTAGGTCCTTACCTGGATATGGTTTTACTCTGGCAGATTTCGTGGTTTTGCTTTGCCGCTCAGGGCCGCATTTGGTTAAAGCTTGGGAAGCAAGCAGAGCAGCGGGTGCGTGGCACGTTAGAAGAGCTCCAGAAGAACATGGCAGCCCGGCAAACACAGCATGGCCACGGCTGATGTGGGTGGCATGCCTGGGATGTGTTGGAGTCAAGTGGTTCTATTTTTGATGTGGCTGATGTGGCCATCCAACGCAGATGTTTTCATGGCCCTTGTGCGTTGGCGGGGAGAAACCATGTCCAGCCACAAAGACATGCCACATAGTGCGAGTAACTCTATAGCTACATTGCAAGTTCATTGCAGCAGTTTTGCCATGATCGCCTATTTGATCCTTCCTGTTGTCTTCTCCCTAACCTTTTCAAATTAAGGCACACTATCAATCTGGATGATTTTTGGTGGAATACAACCATGCAGATCATCCAATATCATCTCCATGTCCCCCAGGGTCCCAGCCTGACTGCTTCGCTCGCACGCTTCGTCCGGCGTCCCGAGGAGCAGGTGGATAGTATCGACGCCAGCCGCTATGGGCCCAAGGCGGCCGCGGAGATCCGCCTGGCGCGGAAGGACCTGGTGCAGTTCGTGCAGAAGGCAGAAGGACCTGGGGCGAGGTGAAGTTGCTGGCATGTGCATGTTGACCGGCTTCTGTCGGGTGCTGTTGACCGGCTTCGTGGCGGGTGGCGGGTTTGGCGCGCGTGAACTCGGGGAAGTCGGGATGGGCGGTCCGTGTGTGGCATGACGTGGCAGACGTTTCGGAAGAGTGTTGTGTTTGATGTGCGAGGCGAGGAAGGGTGTGGTGCAAGGGTGGTCTCATGTGAGAAGTTCCAGAGGTTTCTGTATACAAACCAGATACTGTAGTACCTACCCAGTCAGTGGATAACCTTTAACATTTTTTGAGGGTTGGTTGCCCCACTAAACAAGACGCACGGTGGAAAAAGGTTAACCTTTTCTCTGAGGAAAAACTGAGGGGGTCAGAGTACCAACTTCTTAGAACCATGTGCAGACTCATGTTTCAGCCTAGCATGGTCATCATGCAGCTCTTCAAACTGCCAGTGTTGAACCAGAGTGCTAGTCAAATGTCATCCTTCTTCCAACCTTCGGGACGTCTTCAGGTGGTTTTTCAAGGTAGGGAGCTTTTTGGTAATTTCAGAACTGCCTTCGCAGGGAGAAGTGAGTTCTTCCATAAACCTCATGCAACATAAATCTCAATTCAACAGAATACCCTGTTGCCTTTTCCAATTGCGAGTCGAGATGTGGGTGGTGCCCCACCATTCTCCCTACTGGCAGTGGAGAAACCCCAACTGGTTGGCTTGGACCAGGCGCAAGAGCAGTTGGAGTCCGCTTTGACGCGGCTCCGTGTGGTCTTGCAGCACTTGGCTCCTCGGTGGACGAAACACCACCTGTGAGGAGAAGGTGTCACTCTTAGGGAGCGGTATGTCCTCCCATCCCCGGACACATCGAAGTCACAGAAATCGAAGTCATCGAAGTAATGAGATTCATGAGGACACCTTCCACGTCAAGCTAAAAGTGGAGTGAAGCTATCCGGACTTTGATTATGTTATAGATCATATTTGCGGCACCCTTCACCCAGCCCACGCAATTGCAGACACAAACACGAATGCACTGCTCACAAGGGTTTGTCTTTTGCCAGATGATGTTGGCAGATCAAGATCCTCTATATTTGGAGAATCATGAAGGCATGCCTGTGGGCAACGCACCCGTTGGTCAGTCAGACCAAACCAGCGCTTCAAGCACGGCCGTTTCGGCAGCGATCCTGAGCGGATCCTCCAAGCTACGGAAACAGCAAGTGAAACAGGTCGCAGAAATTCAGACGATGTAGTAACAGGAAGCTACTAGTAAGAAAGGCATCTCTACAAAGGGCATCGCCACTAGGAGCAAGGACGCTACGAACGTAGCTTTGGGCATTACCAGTAGGAACTAAGAGGATGCTGCTAGTAACAGTACTTCAACCAAAAGACTTTCCTGACCCAACCTATATACACGGAACTCCTGACGGACTTCCACCCACCCAGCTGTACCCAGCTGTACCCGGCTCCGGTAGGAGTCCGCATCGCCCGAGGTCTCGACCGTTCCAGCGCATCGCCCTGCCCATGGCTGGACAGATGCTCGGAGCAGCCCGTGCCGTTCGTTACCCGAGCCTGGAAGTTTGGGCATGTTAAAAAGATAAAGGGTTGGCCTTGGCTTTGTAGTCTCAAATCCGCAAAAACAACGGTTGTTCCATAAAGCCTATTTAAAATATGTGGTGGTTGGAACCCTAGGGTTAGATATTTATATATGGCCTGGACGATGGAGTGTGGGTGATGCACTCCCTGTAAAGGATGGTCTTCATGTCCCCGAAGACTCAGTGATTCCGTGGACCCCGAAGACGATTCCATGGACCCTGAAAATGTAGAGGAAAAGCATGCAACGATTTGATGGGGGGCGCAGGACGTCAGGGTCTATGATGTCGTTTTTGTGAGGGTAGAGCAGATAAAGGATGTAAATCCAGCATCCCCCAACAGGTCTCAGTCAAAAGCAACACATTACTAGGAAGAACCGCATGTCGAGGTCACTGCTGAGGCTCTACATCCCTTCAATGGCACTCACTTACGGTGATTGGTACACGGCTGTGGGTCAAAACCAGGCTTCTTTGGTGGCTACACTACCAAGGAGGTCAAGCTACCGGCAAGGCTCCGGATTTTGACCCACAGCCACATGGGGGCCATAGCACGTTGGATCACTTGTTTAGGATCTTCGCGCCGACCTGCTCGTTGTCGCGTCTGGCGTCAAGGTGAAAGACTCTCAAGACAGCAAACAGATGGCGTCCGCCAAGAGGTGTCCGTTTTGGACACCAACCACTGATCGTTTGTGGAAGTTGGCAGTTCTTTTGTTCTTTGCTTGCTGGAGGCCCAAGCCATTCTGTTCCAGTTGCCTCCATGATGGCCACACCTCAGATGATTCATCAAGAATCTACACATCAAGACCACCAAGCATGGTGACCTTCGAATGTCCAACCGCTCGAGATACCGTGTGGGACGAGGTCCCGCCCGAACCCGCCGAAGCTGGGCGCCTAGGAGGAAGAGTCGCTCCATGAGAAGTATCGCGCGGCCTTCGAGAAGTTGGAGGAGCCACTGGGAGCAAGGATGCGCTCGGTGGAGCCCATCGCAAGTAGGTTGGAGCCCATCGCTACTAGTGGCAAGAAGCTACTAGGTTGGAGGCCATTACTACTAGGAACCACCGGTTCGCAGCCTTGCGTCGCTCGACCATAGACGAGACGTGGTGACCGTCGATGGGGGTCACCTATATGTTTCATCGACGCGTGGGGAGACGACGAGACGGTGGGAGATCCTTTGGATGCTCCTTTTGGAGGAGGGGTATGTCCCTAGGGATCCAGTCGTACCTTCCAGAAGGTACGACTGGACCCTCTTGGCGCCTACACAAGAAAGTGTCGAACACATCACCGTACCTGAGGTTCGGGACGAAAGTGTCTCCCTAGGGTGTTTGGAACCCGGTCGAATTAAGGCCCCCCTCGTTGAGCAATCGGGGGGGTAATCGAAATTCAAACACCAGGTGAAAGCTCTCTGGAGGTCGTTTCTGGAGGGATTCCTTCCGGACCACGGAAGGTTTGGCCTCAGGGTGACTGCACTGTGGATCCTGAGAGACTTGGCCTTTTCAACATGGTTCTCATTCCACTTCAACCATAGTGCCGTTCCCCAATACTTCGCCGGCATTTCCCGCTTTGGGTGGATGGTCCGTCCGACGGCAGAGCAAGCGCTCCGTTGGCGGGCGGGCAAACAGGAGGTGGTCGAACAGACGGATGCGGCCAAGAAGACACGGCTCAGCGGCATTACGGTGAAGTTCCAAGGCCGAGGTGAAGCACCGAAGACGGTCCGCGCGTGTGGGGTGGTTGGTGTTTTCCCCGCCGGTGCGGAGGGTCCGAGGGGAAGGGCTGAGTCGAGTCCTGGCGATGTGGGTCCCAAAATTCAGAGTCAGTTTCGGAGTCCGTTCGGTTGGTTGACTTCCTGTAGGTGGTCTACTCATTTTCCGTTCCACCAGAGTCCCCTGGTGCGACCCACGGCATCGTGAGATCAGGTTCATCAATGGAGGTTGGGGTCGGCACCGGCACCAGCCCTGTCTCCTGGTGCCATGACCAAAACCGCCGGACTGTGACGAGACGAGAGAAGCTAAGCTAAGGGACCTCGGTGCTAATTCCAGGTCGGATTCCTTCCAATGAACGGGCATGGAAACTGAACAGTGAAATACGGCCCCTTTTCTTCTGGCCCTCTCTGTACAGTTACTATGACCCCTGTAAGTGGCTAGAGGCTAGAGCCACAACATGGGCCTATCACCAGACACCAACTAGCTTTCACGAGTCTGAGCGCGCCTCACAGCCCTTCCACGGTAGAGGTATTGGAGGTAGAGAGTTGGAGATGCAAGTTTGCTTTACCCCAAAAGTGAGCCCCCGAGCCCCCAAAGACCATTAAGATGACAATGGTTGATTTGCTTTTGTAGTCTAGATTCCTCAGTAAAACAATGGCTATCCCGCAAAACCTATTGAAAAAACGGTGGTTGGAATCCTTGGGGGCAAGTCAAGAAGAATCTGGGAAACTCCCGGCGGGTCCCTACACCTGAGGGCGATCGGAGTTTGTCAGAGAGCGGGGGTCGAGTCGACAGATGGGACGACGGGACGACTACAGTGTTATGATGATGTTTTTTATTTTCCCGCAACTGGGTGAATCCCCAGTACTTGGGCAAGGATGGCTTTTTTCCTCTGATGTCATAAGTCCCAAAGGGGCAATCCTTGACCGGGCTCGGGTGCCCCTGTGAGGTGAAAATCCGCCTCCTTCGGACAACCTCTATGTGAAGGGTTTGCCAGGCCTTTCTGGCCGGTCGCAGCGCAATGTATCGTGGTGGGGTAGTGGGTGGGTGGTCGTCCAGGGGGTGTTCTGGAGCTCTTTTGGGTATGCCCCAGGCTAAGCGCGTGGGAAATGTTCAAGGGATTCAATACTGAGACACATTCACATGTGTGAGAAGAAGGGATGAGGATGTTCCCTGCTTTGCCAGACCACTTTCGAGCAAGAAATGAGGTTTGTTGCAATCTCCGGCAGGATTGATGAAGCCACTGCAAGCACCAGTGGCTTGACGGGCTCAACCATTGGCAGGCCATTTATCTCCACAGAATCTCGCAGGGATACTATCACATTTGACCGCGAGGAAGTGGTGGAAGACTGTGACTCTTCGACTTGGAAGACCATCATGTCCGCTCAAATTCGCTAAAAACCTTGTGGATGTCCTCTTGCTGTTCCATCCTTTTCCTTCTTTCTGTTTTCTTATTCATGGGACTGTGGCGCTAGATAACTACAGATAACTGATACATCTATCCCACGCGCTGGGGAATTACCCTGCAGAGTAGATTACTATATATATATATATGTTGTATTCTTAACAATGGGGAACACAGGCGGGTGGTCGCCCAAAATCCCTCCTTGAACAAGAACTCCGATTCTCTTTGGAACCTCCCATCCAAATCTCATCTCAGACACTCCAGTCTCGACTGGAAGTGACACGTCAGGTGCAGGTGCAATAATTTCAGTGCGACTGGCGCCATTTCTCTACCAGCGCACTATAAGTAGTTTCACCCCCGAACAAAAACCGGACGGATTGGACGGCTGTTCGTACGCGACACTCGCCGTGACACGATTTCGCCGGGTCGGAGCAGTAGCGACCGATGGTTCAACCACAGACACTCCATGGGACTGCCATATATGCCTACATTGACCCCCAAAACCACCCCAATGTATAGGCATATATGGCATACATGGAGTGTTTGGGAACCACAGCCAGGATGGGTGACCGAGTCGGACCTTGAGAGCATTTTCTCGGAGGTAGGCGACATTCAGCCACTCGGTTTTTGGGGGGTGCTGGGAAAGGAATGTTGGAGTGTGGTCGCACGGCGTTGGGGGTTCGAACTTGGAGTTTCTTGGTGCGATTTGGGAACTTCGGATTGTTTTTTGGGGGCAAATTCCAAGGAACGTTTGAAAGGTGATGTGCCGTTTGTTCGTGCGGTTCGTTCGGCTGGGAGAACCAGGCTGCCAGTTGATGTTTCGAGACCCCAGGGAAGGTGTGAGCATGAAACATCATGAAACATCATGAAACTCAGTTCAGGACAGTTTGACATGTGTCGTGGTTTTGCATGCTCTATGGCTACGTACGACTGCTGGCTTACCAACCTTGCAACTCATGGTTGGGTGTGAACGATCAACAGATGGGACGTTGTGCACCGGGTTGGGAGATGTGAGACACGTCCTCGGATTGGAGGAGAAGTCTGTCCAGTTGCTATCGGACTGGTACCAGATCTAGATCTGCCAAGAGCCAACCCTCTGACAGTGTGGGCCGAACCTTTTGAACTCCATAACTTATAGAACCTGAACTGTTCCTTTGGGCTGAACAACAACAACAACAACAAGGTACAAACAAAAACTGCAACCCCGTTACAACGCATTTTCTTTCTTTTCCTCTACAAGGGGGTGGAAACAAAATCTGCAGCCCTGTCGTTGTTTTTAACGCCCCCCAAAACAACCAGCCAACAAACAAGAACTTTTACTAGTGCTTGTAGTGGTTGTAATACTAGTGGTACTAGTCCTCGTAGTACTTTCTAGTCGTACTACTGGTGGTGGTGGTGGTGGTGGTGGTGGCGGTGGTGGTGGTGTGAGAATCAAACACCCAGAGCAAGTAGAACCAAAACCTAGAACAATCAAGTGAACTTCAACGTCAACACAAGTGAACTAGTTAGGTTCCAACCCTGCCCACGCCCACGGTCGTGCGACCTTTTCTCGCACTTGAGCCAACGAAAGTCGGGTCTCTTGGTTTCAAAGGCCACGACATGCCGAACTGCGCATGGAGCGCGGACTTCAGCTTTCAAGTGGTACACTTCTCGAGTGCGTGTCATCTTTGGATGGTACACTTCTATAGTGCGTGTCATCCTTGCTAAAAACCGGCCAAAAACATCGAGACAACGATGCAGCGAAGCGAAGCGAAGCGCAAAACAAGGTCAGACTATCACCACATGTGTCCTAACTAGCGAACTAGAGTCTGTATGGAAGCTAGAATGCACAACTCTTCACACCCCCGCTCAAACCAAGTTCGCATAGTACGATTCCATCAAGTTGTCACAACTTAAACGGTTCTGCTATGCAGTGGTGGTACATCTCACTCAACCAATTCCTTCGATCTGACGTCATCGAATTCGGACACACTGCTTGTAAGGCTTGAGCACTCGGTCAAAGTGATTCAAAAATGGGCTAGTTCCATTGTTCAAATCATGAACATATCGGCACCCTTCAAAGCTAAAGCACAGCTTCTGCTCCCTCGACACTAAGCCCACTGTCAAGCACACTGGGCAAAGTTCAAGGTTCTTTGCTAGAGAGGCATCATGATGATATGCTTCATTATGCTGCAGCTAATGACATGGATTCTTTCGCCACTCTTGATACAAATGCAGTATCCTCGCACAGGAGGAGGAAGAGGAAACAGGCGTTCAGGCGAATCTCGCTCAGGTGATGATCCCTCATTCACTTGCTGACCTGGTGGTGAATGATCCGGAAGCACTGGAGTCGCTGGCGAATGCGATGGCGGCCATGGTCCAGGATCACTCTCATTCGAAGTAGGTTCATCAACCGTCATGGGAATCTGCTCCCATCCCGGCAAGCTCTGAGCCCTTCCGCATGATGGCCTGCTCACTGGGACATTTCAACAGGCCTGCATTGTCTTTCACAATCCGGGAACACGTGTTCAACCATGCCTTTGATGCAACTCGCAATCCGTTCATTGCTCGATACAAATCCAAGCAAAATGGTTGATACGAATCAGCAGCAAAGAATACATCGGCTGGCATCCTAACGATTGCCCTGCATGATTCCAGCTGGCAACTCGCTGTGGCTGTTGAGATGTCGAGACTTGTCGGCCACAAATCAAACTGTTGAACTGCAGCTAGGAATGATCGAAATGCCTCAATGCTTGGTGTTGAACCAGAGATGCCTAAATTCTGTTCTGATTGAGCTCCAGTTGCCACATCCTGAACAACACATCGGGCTCTGGATTGGTTTTCGACTCCTTCTACTGTCTTGCTTGTCAACACCCATCGAGAACCAATGATGCGAATGTGCAAGTCTCTGGCCATCTCTCTTGCCACTTCCTCGAAGATTGGCACACCAACATGGAGCTCATTGCCGTCAATTCGATCAAGCGTCCTCCTTTCACAAGTTCTGGGCTGAATGTGGTTTGACCATCTTCGGAAATTCCTAGCTCTGGTTCAATGAGGTACACCTGACACCCACAAAATTCAAAGGGTTCACTCTGCAGGACGGTGGCTTGCAAAGATGGTACAAAAATAGGACAGAAAACCCCTTGGCAATCTCGATTCTGGACAAGCTCTTCTGGCGGTGGTGTCAGCTTGTGCACGAATTGCGACAAGTCCATTGGGGTCGTGGTGGTGGTGGTGGTTGGTGGGGTGGTGCCTGTGTGGCTTGCTTCAAAGCTCCTTTGTGCCGCTTGTCACTCATATGCCTTCGTAACATGTGGTGAGTTAGAGTCTATTTGACTTCGGTATCACTAGGTCTTGCATGGCTGGAAGTGCAAACATTTCTTTCACCCGCCTTTCACTTCCAGTGCCCAACTTTGTTGGGCTTAGCTACCCATCGGTACCCTGCTCGCGCTTGCTGGTTTGGTGACACATAGCCAAATGCCCTTGCTTCTGTCAGCCACTTATGCACTGCATATGTGGTTCCCACAGTGCGAGCGATGTCCTTGGGATTGCGCCAACTTCAGCCAGCTCTAGCACTCGGTGACGCACATCTTCTGGTACCCTGGGGTCCTTTTCACCCAGAAGCTTTTCTGACTTGTCAAGACATTCATTCACAGCCACATCACTGTCAAGACAGAAATGCCTGGCCCTGCTTCTACAACAAGCTCTTTCCGTGCAGCTTTGACCACATCTGGTGGAATGTCTTCCCCGCCATCTGACAAGTACTTCTTGAAGACTGGGAGAGCATTGCAAAAGGCCTGCCACCTGTCTTGCCCCACAACAACATTTGCCATTGGGCATGCAAACATGCAAACCAAGGGCGATTTGTTTGTCGACTGTTTGGGGAATATCTTTCTTCAAAGTGCGCCAAGCCCTATCATTTGTCTGTGTATGACAGAGCGAAGGTCGTTGCTTGCCATCAACCAACACTTCAACAGACCTGGGCCTTTTCGGAATGGTTGACTTGATGACGCTCAACGATTCCGACGTGCCCGGTGGAAGGAAAAAACCGGTGCACTGTCTGTGAAGAGGACGCGTCTGGTAGTCCAAACCCTGCTTCATCAAATGAAAGAAGAAACTCCCTTTGCTAAGCTGAGGGGTTCGTGGCTCTTTCCTGCTTTGCCGAAGTGCCATTGACTTGATCCAGAACTTGTCCGCGCTTCCTCACTCATCTCCAGCCTCAGGCTAAGAAAAGACACAAGTCTCATCAGCCTATGAAAGCAACAGCATTTGTGACCAGCTGACCAAAAACAATCTCTGCCTGTCGTTTCTCCGCGTCCATGGCCATGATGAAGCGTGTCCTGCTCGTCCAAATCCGCGTGTAAGGCTCGGAGACACCAAGTTCCCTCACGATCTGCGTCAAGGAATGCCCTTCAACTTCAACTGTCATAAAGACTGTGAAGATTGCCTGACACGCCCCAGCCTCCGTGGCCCTCACAGTTCGGAAAGAGAGAGTTTCAATCACTGAATGCCTCGCTCGGTTTGGCATCCTCACAAGACAGACGTTCGCACCCATGTTCAACAAATAAACATTTTTCAAGCAGGAAAGCTGACGAATCTTGTCCAAGGATTCATAGCAAACATGGGTCAAGTTGATGTCTTGACCAGCCACCTTGCCATCTGCTGCCGCTGACAAGCGTTGGAGCGACGTCCCCCATTGTTTGCAAGCAGAAGATTGGCACGGCTGCCAGCTTAAATCCGCCAACAGGCCATCCAGTGAGGTCAAGCGGGCTGCATCGCTTCAAAAACAGGCCTCTGCGATAAGAAGGCTCTAAAGCCTTGCTGCGCGGCTTCCGCCTTCGAAGACCACAGTTCAATCCTTTGCTCAGGTGGAACTCTCTTGAACAAGGTGATTGCACGCTTCTTCTTCTGTGAGTTTGCCCTCTTTCGAAGGAACCAAAGCAGCTGGTGCCTGTGGTTCTGAAGGAAGCTCCACCACAGAGGAAGAGGGGTCAACTGTGTTCAATGCACTGTGATGACTTTCTTCACCCTTTCGTCAGCCGCAAAGTCCAGAGAAAGAACTTCTTGTGGGAAAATCGCTCCTGAGAGCAGAGCTGGTTGGAACCACCTGTACTTTCCAAGCTGTGCCTGTTCTCATGTAGCCGCAGCAAGTATTAAGGAGTTTTTTCGACGCCCAGCTCAAGGACTTGCCTCGGTACTTGCCGAAGTTGAAGGTTTTCTCCGGAAGCTCTTGGTCTTCGATCAGGCTTTTCTGCTCTTCGGACAGCTGCAACAGCTTGTGTTTCGGAAAGTCATGTTGGTGCCCTCTTCAAGGCCATGCATGTCGTACACCACCTGGCTCGGGCTGTCAAGCCCTTGCTCTTGCCCTTCTTACGGACCCGCTTCGGCTCAGGCTGTTTGCCTCTGACCCGTCTCACGCTGCTTGAGACGACCGCCATACGCCACCGTGTTGGATCGACGAGACCTTCATTGGTGCTATTGCGCGTCTTCATCGCACCGTTCACCCAATGAGGGGGAGCCGGAGGGTTTTTGAAAAAGCTTTAGGTGTATGTACAGGCTGGAAATTGGAAAGCCTGCTCAATAGCTAGTTTTGCAACACCTGCGTTGCCACCCCAGCTACCACAGCCCAATCGGGCTGAGTTTCCCGACCTTCTACCAATGGCAGCGTTGTCGATGTGGACAGTGCGTGAGGCGTGTGCGGAGGCGGAGGGGTGGGAAACCTGTTCTCAAAAAAGTGATGGTGTTTAATCCCTGTGGTGGTTGGGGCTTGACGGTACGATGCAACATCTAAAATCCTTAAATCTCTTCTTGGAAACTCCTTGAAGTTTTCGGATTCCATTGAAACATATTGTCGACTTAAACGCCTTCCTAGGGTCTATGAAACTCCTCTTAGGGTCATGTTTATTGTAACTGGTTGAAAGAACCTATCAAACTTCTACTCTAACACATCCCAGAAACAAAAACTGCAGCCCCGTTGTTGTTTTTGGCCCCCCCTCAAAAGATCATGTTGTCTATACCCCCTAGAAACAAAATCTGCAGCCCCGTTGTTGTTTTTGACGCCCCAAAAATAAAAAAAGCAGACCAACCAAGACTTGAGTACCACAACGACAACAAGTCCAGCTACTAGCTACTAACATCTTTCCAAACCTTCAACCCTATCCCTCATAGTGGGCTATTTTTGTCTCTATCAACAACAACAACAACGACTACTACTACTACTACTACTACTACTACTCCTCCTCCTACAACAACAACGGAAAGCAACTCTTCTGCTCACATTCCGCTCCAGGAACCCCTTCCCAAAACCCTGATGCGCTCTTCTCGAAACCACACGCGCTGCGCCGCGCATAACTCCCTAGAAGCTGCTGTCTGGTCTAGCTTAGGAGCATGAAGCTCAAGGCCGCTGATTGGGGCGCCATTGCCTTCATTAGGCGCGGGGTGAGCTACGGCAAAGCTGCCCGTAGACCGCTTCCAGTAAAGCTTTTATGTCCGTGTATGACTCATACAGTTACATATATGTAGTTCTTTTTCTATGGGGCTTCCACCCATCTAAGCTGAAGGCCGCGCAGGTCGAGGAAAATCAGGACCAGCTGAAGGTGTCAGCTTTGGATGTCCGCGACAAGCGGGCATTGCTGGATGGAGGCGCTGCGCAGCGCATTGGCTTCGTCAGGCGGTTGATGCCAAGGAGTGGGCTTTGCCGTCGGGCACGGTGACTTTGCGACAAGTGCCATGGACCAAAACGTTGGTCACGAACCGTCCGGCTCGCCTTCACTTCGTGCGCTGGAAAGCTCGCAAAATCGAAATCCAATCGAAGTTTCCCCCCTCTGGAGATTTGAAACCGCTGGAGCATTCTGCAGGACGACGAGGCAGAGTCATGCATCAGAGGCAGAGTCAGCGAGCAGGCTCTGCAGCGCAAGACTGGAACTCGCAGGCGTATGATTGCGGGCTTTCTGAACTTGGAGCCCGAAAGCCCGGAGAGACTCCCAGCAGAACACGCGGATGCAGAAGCGGACCATAAACGCTCTCAACTTGGAGCCCAAAAGCCCATGCGCAGGCAGAGATTCCGGCCGGGTGCGGCCTCGCGCAGCCGGCAGAGACCCAGGGCCAGGCCCGCCGACGCCGGCCCCGAGGAAAAGGCGGGCCGAATGCTGGCGAACCAGAGCGGCGAAGCCAGAAGCCCAGTGGTGCTTCTGGGGTACACTGGGGTACAGTTGCTGCCAAGGCGTCGGGAGCGAAGCAGAGGTGGCAAACGCATCGAGTCCGACCTCTCGAAAGTTGGCAGCGACGCCGCAAGCCCAGTGGTCGTGGTCGTGGTAGTCGTAGTACTAGTACTAGTACTAGTACTAGTAGTAGTAGTAGTAGTAGTAGTAGTAGCAGCAGTAGCAGTAGCAGTAGCAGTAGCAGTAGCAGTCGTCGTCGTCGTCGTCGTCGTTGTCGTCGTGGTCGTCGTCGTCGTCGTAGTAGTAGTAGTAGGTAGCAGTTAGTAGTTAGAAGTTAGTAGTTAGGAGTAAGGACGGAAGGACGGAAGGAAGGAAGGAAGGACGTAAGGACGTCAGTAAGTCAGTAAGTAAGCAAGTTAGTTAGTAAGTTAGTAAGTTAGTTAAGTAAGTAAGTAGGTAAATAAGTAAGTAAGTTAGTTAGTTATTTAGTAAGTTAGTAAGGAAGTAAGTTAGTAAGTTAGTAGGTTAAGTAGGTTAAGTAAGTTAAGTAAGTTAGTTAGTTAGTAAGTTAAGTAAGTAAGGAAGTTAAGTAAGTAAGTAAGTTAAGTAAGTATGTTAGTAAGTAAGTTAGTAAGAAAGTAAGTAAGTAAGCAAGCAAGTAAGTAAGTAAGTTAAGTTAAGTTAAGTTAGTTAGTTAGTAAGTTAGTAAGTAAGTGAGTAAGTAAGTAAGTAAAGTAAAGTAAAGTAAAGTAAAAAAGTAAAGTAAGTAAGTAAGTAAGTAAGTAAAGTAGAGTAAAGTAAAGTAAAGTAAAGTAAGTAAAGTAAGTAAAGTAAGTAAAGTAAGTAAAGTAA